ACTAATAAACTTTTGATTTACTTAAAGACACAATGTTATACTTACACATTCATCATAAATATGTTAAACATCTTCCCTAACAACTCCATCCTTGCCCACACGAGCTTCCTTCCATAAAACATGCGTCGTAAGTGATGTTTTCTCAGTTTTCGTCTCCTCTAACTACGCATTGACACAAATCATAAGATCACCAATTATAACACATTGAGACAATTAATAACATCGTAGCATTTATATATACTTACAATTTTTTGCTGTAAGCGTGCATATCCCAAGCGCCCTTTTCTATATGGATATGTGGGTGTTGATGCTCTCTCGCGATTTGTGTCACTCACTTTGTTGAATTTCTCATTTTCTATTCGTTTGGATACAAATTCATCCCATTCTTAGGGTCTAATGAAGTTGCTATACTTCATTGGACGATCCGCTTTAACAAGATTTCCTTGCTCATCCTTAAGAATTTTGTTTGTTAAAAAAGTTCTCCACCCTCGGTGTCTTTTTCGGGCCACTTGAAGACAATACTTTTTTCGGTTGTCTTCAATGTTAAAAGACCTCTACGAAAAAACATATGCATTATAGTGTGTTAGTATAAGTTATTTAAAGACATTACCATGTGATCTTCATTAAGGGAACAAATATTAAGCATACATATAAGACATTCCCAAGCCTTACTTAGTTAGGGACTAAAATAACAAAAATATTATACTTTAAAGCTAAATTATATGGTACCTGTATATCAGTCTATATTTTGTCTTTGTAGGAATCCAAATCTTTATTAGTCCATTTATCAAAGGTGATTGGAACGTGCATACGAGCAAGTGTACCAATGTAGCTTGTCAATTTTACACCATTAGGATCGATTAGTTGGTTATCATCATTCCAATGTACATCATATTTTACTCCTTTATCTCTATCAAGAATGATTTTTCTCATAATAGTAATGCCTCGTGTAATTTCTCCCTCTGATGTCTTATCTGGAGCATTTGTATCTTGTGAGTTTTCTTAATTACTAGCCATTGACCTATAATAAAGAAAAAAATAAAAATGAAATGACAAATATATGGGGCTAACACAGATCAAACTATGCAATACAACATCCTCATCCATGAACAGTTTATGCAGTAGTTAATAATTTAATCATTTCACCTTCCTACTTGAACTATGTTCTTTTCTACTCCATCTAAGACTGAACATTGAACACTGAACACATACAACAGCAAGAACCACTAAACACATACAACAACAAGAATGACGTACCTGAACTACGGCGGTCTACGACGACCGGAGAAGAAACGATTATGAACGAACGGAGAAGAATCGGTCGGAAAAGAAACGATTACAACGATTAGAAATGAATGAATAGGGTTCTGAAAATTTTATATTTTAACTTTATAATTTGACCTAAGACAGCGCTTTCTATCATACAAGATATAACAGCGCTTTCACGAGAAAGCGCTTTCTTAAGTGGGGAAATTTTATATTTTAATTTTATAATTTGACCTAAGCCAGCACTTTTTAAAAGTGCTTTCTATCATACAAGATCTAGCAGCGCTTTCACGAGAAAGCGTTTTCTAAAGTGGGGAGAATTTAAGGCCTTTAGCAGCGCTTTTTAAAAGCGCTTTCTAAAGGCTGTCTGTAGCAGCGCTTTTTTTTAGCGAATTTTTTAAAAGACCTACAGCAACGTTTTCTCATTAAAGCGCTTTCTAAGGTAGGGTATTTAGCAGCGCTTTTTTAAAAACGCTTTCTAAAGCTGTCTGTAGCAGCGCTTTTTTTTAGCGAATTTTTTAAAAGACCTACAACAACGTTTTCTCATAAAAGCGTTATCTTTTTGGTGATGCCAAAAGTCAATTTTGGCGTAGTGTAAGGCGATAAATGGAAAAATTAACTTAGCAAATTCAATATGCGAGAAACTTTTGGGTGTCAACTTGTTAGATAATAACCCGAGAGGCTAAGATATCTTACTTTCGCGCCGTAAAAGTTATTATAGAGGTTTAAAATTAGATGCAAATTCTTCAAGAGAAATTAAAATAATTAAAATTGGGTGTTATATTATGCTATTAATTGGCTCATTATTATTTCCTGAAGTTAGCGGTTCTAGTATGCATGTTATGTATTTATCCTTATTAAGAAACATAGATAAAGTAGGAACATATAATTGGGGTTCAGCTTGTTTGTCCTATCTCTATAGCGCTTTGTGCCAAAATGTAAAGAAAGACATATCTACATTTAATGGATGAGACGTTTTTCTCCAAGCATGGGGTTGGTCTAGATTTTCGTCCCTAGTATTCATCAACAACAACAACTTTGCATTCTCCTATGCACAAAAGTAAATTAATAACATTATTTCCATTTACTTACTTTACACATTTTTATTTGTAAATAATTTATTTTAATTTTTTTTGGTTTAGATGGTCGGCTCGTAGTATGACTTACAAAAGATGTCCTAGACACTACATTACTCAATATTTCAATCTCTTGGATCACCTAACATCAGACGACGTATTGTTACTAAACTAATCAATTCATAATGATTTATTTTTAATATTACTCATTTTATAATCTAATTTATTTTTCCTCTACAGTTTATTTAAAGGTCATATCTATGCCTAAAACATCATCATGAAATCAATGAAGAAGATGTAGTCGTTTTGACTGCATGCACACTGATCATTAGGTTTACCATTATGGAAATGCACCATAGCGACCATGTGAAACGTTCGACATGTGTTAACAGATCGTAAATCCCCCGACGTGCCTCGGACAATGACATCAATGTAAAATTAATGAACAATGGGCCTTTAACAATTGGAGAGACTTCACTAGAGTTGAGTCTTGTCAATGGAGGCGCCATCATCAACGAGTCTTAACTAATGATGTCTTGCCAACCGAATCTAAACTAACTAATAATTATATGGCTTAGTACAGATTGCTTGCAATTGGGTTTTTCTCTGAAGATTACCGAACCACGCAAAACACTTACACATAAGAAGATTCAACGTCTAACCTCTCACAAAATTACCAGACCAATTACTCACCACCACTAACCCAACAAAATTATCGACTACTAAATATTCAACCCCACAACCAATACATGTTAGACACCCAACCAAAAAACCAAAAGCGTACTTCATACCACCAACAACAACATGTTAATTATTAAAACACCCAACATCAATATGCTCACAACACATCATTCTACCATAACCAAAACACGCAAGAAACATATAACATAAACACTCCTTTCTACCATAGCCAAAACACCGAAACGTCACAACACCAAGACACGCAACCAACATGGGGTTACCTAGCACCCCAACAACCATTTCTTCCTTTCTCCAATGAATCATTCACACCAATGTCCTCATTTTCAATTGTATAGGCTGCAAACCAATAACCCCATCAACACAACTCAATTACTCTGGCATAGGTCACAAACTCAGTTATGACAACGCGTCAATGCATACACAAGACTTCTTAAAAATGCAATAAATTATTAAGAAATCAGGTGATGATGATGTTCCTGGGACATTAAATCCTCTAACACATAGGGTGAATCAATCGTGAGCGCAACGAGTTAGGGTTTGTAGTTGGCGTGAAACCGGTGGCAGATATGACCAATGTGATCGTCCTCGTTAATGTTAAAAATACTATTGTATGTAAAAGTAATTTAAATTAAATATTGACAAAATACTCATTTCGGTCTCTTAACAATACATTTAGGTTCAGATTGGTCCTTTATTTTTTTTCGTGTCACTTTGGTTCCTTAACTTCAAAACGTTTCATTTTAGTCCTTCTTAGCGACGGATTTCAAAGTTTTTCCGTCGCTAATTAGACAAAAAGGACTAAAATAAAATGTTTTGAAAATTAAGGAACCAACGTGACACAAAAAAAGTTAAGGGACAAATCTAAACTCAAGGGTATAGTTAAGGGACCAAAATAAATATTTTATCTTAAATATTTTATTTAATTCTTTTATATAATTTATTGTTTTAATTAAAAAATATTACACTCACGCGTCAATTAAATTAACGCTAACTCTTATACTTTTAATATGGTCGTTAGTTTAATTGGTGATATATCTTATTTTTAAATGGAGACGGTAATTCATCTGACATTACTTATTCATTTTAAATTTATTTTTTGAAAGTGGGTTAGTTTCAAAAGTACGTGGAAATGTTGGTTATTATGAGAATTAATTTGAAAAAGATGGATATTTAAAATTCAATATTTATTTATAATTTTTATAATATGTTAATAAAAAATTTGTTGATACTTAGAGCATCCACATTCATCATACCCATTTGCATTCTTTAAATGAGACCCACATAATTTTTTATATTATTTCACACTTCTCAATTTTTTAAACAACCCATCTACAATTCTCAAATATCCATGTAACTCATCAAAAAATCTAAAATGGGTCCCACATTTAAAACAAATCAACTACATTCTTGCAATTTTATTTATATAATTTATTAAAAACTTTAAAATAGGTTCCACTAAACCCCACAATATACCCCATAACCCATCTTTTCTTAACAATTTTTGAGAAAAAAATGAATAAAAAGACCAAATAAAATTTAAGAAGCGTGCTTTAGTATGAGGACGTGCTTTAGTTCAGGAACGTGAAAACAAATGAAATATTCATTTATTATTGACACAATTTTTTTAATAAATGTGTAGGAACTCTCAAAGGACACCGATAATCATACTCTTATACATTAACAATTTTATTTAAAACAGGAGAAGTCAAGAAAGAAATAGTATCTTTGTTTGATTGAGTTTTTCATAACAAGAAAAGTTGATTTGCATTCACAATAAATTCATATGAAGATGTTCATTTTTACAAAGTATAATATAAATATAATACATATGGATACCATTTAGAATAACATTATACAAATATTATATTATGCATATAATGTTGTTTATAGATAGACATGTATATTAAGTAAAATAGTATATGTATAAATTATAAGAACCCTTTCTCTGTAGGGATATTATATATTGTCACCTCCACCTGTGTGATAAGCATCCCCAAGTGGATCATTATTGTTCCAAGGTGAAGGAAAGTAAAAAGTTGGAGGAGGTGGAGGAGAAGAAAGTTCTCCATGATTTGGCAATATTTCATTATAACGAATCAAATCAGCATTAGTAGAATCGAGTTCCTTTTGGAGACTAATAACTTGTCTTTGGAGGACTGAAATAGCACCAACACAACCATAAACAGGATCTTTAATCCTTGCCTCGGCTTCATAGGCAAGAGAGTTGACAGCATCTTCTCTTTGATGAGGTTGAACTTCATTCAGAAGTTTACTCACATTGCTTGCACCAAATATTTTGTGAACGTTTGCAAATTTCTGTGGTTCATCTGGTGGGAAATATGGAGCAAATATGCAATCTGGCATGCACTTCCTTCTCAAAAACTTGCACGCAGCACATGGTGAATTTGAGTACAAGCTTGAAGATGATGCCATTAATTATTTTCAATCTTCATATCAAACACAACAACACAATTAATTTATTATCTTCACTAACTATATTTGAAAGACTTAAAAAAACTTGTGTTTCAAATCTAGCAGAGAGAAAAACTAACAACACAATTAATTACTTTTCAAAATATATTAATAGATTCAAATCAATTAATTAATGAATTTTGCGTTTCTCCTATAGGTCTAGGCTTCAGCTGAGAAGCTAAAAGGAAAAGTACACCTACCTAGCTACCACTACAACGAATTAACCTTGAATCAAATCTTATACAGCATGGATTTATTATGCAAACTAAACACTAATATACCAAAAAGAAGAAGAAGAAGAAGAAAAAACATATTAATTGGAATGAACAGACCATGTAAATTAGATGATCATTACCTTTCTATATTCCTCTTGTATAAGAAAGTAAAGGGCTTACAATTAAGATCTAGCTATTCTTAAATAATAAGAGTAATACCAGCAGTGAAAAAGAGACCAGAAGAGAAGTCTTGGGAATTTACTATTGGATGTGAGAGTTGAGAGAGAAAACCCTAGCTAGTTGTAGGACATGATGAGAGAAAACCGCAAATACAATGACAATAGATAAAGCAACATGAGAGTGAGTGAATGGGCATATTCTAGAGAGAGAGGGAGAGTGGAAAAGAAAGTAAAAGACAAATGCAATAAATGGGGGCTATAAGCTACCATGTGAAAAAGAATGAATATGACACAACCTTTCCCAAGTTTAACTGTGATCGCGTGTCCCACTTCCCCCTTTATGTATGTAAGTTTTTTATTTTTTAAATTACAAACAATAACATGACATCATATTCATATACTTATATTCAATACATCATTTACATATGCGTGAATAATGTTTTTTTTTTTTTTTTACTTTTTTATATATTTTTATTTTTTTAAATTATTTTAGTTAATAAAATATTAAAACTTACTCAATACAGTTTAGAGTTTAGTTAATATATATTTTGTTATAAAATAATTTTAAGTTATAAAATAAAGTTGATTGATTGAGTGTTATAAATTGATTAATATAAGTATAATTTGATTATCGAGTGTTCTGATATTAAATATTAAATTTTACGTAGTAAGTTAATTTTGGTTAATTGTATATAAAGTTCGTTAATACAGTTCATAACTTGATTAATGAGTTTTTAAACATAAAAAAATATTAAATAGTAAAATAAAGTTGATTAATAGAGTGTAAAAGTTGGTTAATACATTTATAATTTAGTGTCAAAACATGGTTAATAATATATATTTTATTGGTTATGAAATAGTAAAACTGATTACTAAATTATAAGTAAAATAAGTGGTTAATGACATACATTTTTGTGTTTAATACAATTGTGAAATTAATTAATGACACAACCTTATATTTTTTTAATAATATTATTTTAATAGAAAAATATGATCCACCGTATATGTATATAGAATAGACATCTCATATAGAAAAGAGTGTCAAAATAGCGTTCCTATTTTTTAAATGCCAAAGGAAGAATTTTTTTAATAACCAAATTTTTTAAAGAAAAATATCTAAGTAACCAACATTCTAAATTATTTATTAAAGTAGTCATGATTCAAACAAACAAAAAATCAAATGCAAGAGCATGCGCTAAATGATATGGCACATACAATCAAATTTGTACATTGACGTCACTGCATGCAATGAATTTCGTAAATATATTTTAACGATGCAATTTATCATAACGACCACCTGTTATACAATTTGGTGCTGCCTTTCATCATGGAGGCGGCATACGACCCCTCTGAGGCGATTGTTGTAACACCTTAATTTCCCCGACTCTTTAAATAAATAAATCATACGAATTCTTTAATCTAAAAAGATGTTACACATTTTCATCAATCTTTTTCTCGTCAAAACAATTATTAGGCAACAAAATAAACTTCAAAAATCTCAAATAAGTCATTTATTTAACTCAACATCAAAACTCAATGATAGTAACTCAAAAACATCTTAGAACATAAGATGTAAAAAAATTAACTCGTCTCCAGTGTTACATATCAGAGTAACTCCAAAACTAAATTAACGCGAAAACGGTAAAATAAATGAAGAAAAACCTCAATATTATCTTCCAACTCACAGCAGTTATTGCTCCTCTTGAGTATATGTAACGCGTCGTATAAGACACCACAAAACAAAGAAAAGAGAGGTGATAATTCATTCATATAAGTTAATGGCACATAAATATCGAGGATAGTATAATCAAACATGAATATTCACTCATAATAATCATCCACAACACATTATACACAATCCAATATCACTCACAAATCATAGACATTCACGTAAACAAGAATGAATGCAATGTACTCGTCACTTCTACTTTAATATGCATGTGGTACTAAAGTTTTAGAAGTCCGAAATATGTTACTGAACTATCCATTCGTCACTGGACCAAAGTCCTACTCGTCGTTGGACCGAAGTCGTACTCGTCATTGGACCGAAGTCCTACCTATCACCACTCTATATGATGTATGAATGCAAGACAAGACATACAAAATACATCTTCACTTCCATCGTCATTACTCGTCACCGGTTCCTCTTGAACTTAAACTCAAAATAATAGTCGCCAATGTAAGGCTACACAAATGGTTATACCGAACCAAATCAATCTCAACATAACTCGACATAATCATTTAAGCTCATATTGTTTCTCAACAAAACATAATCATTATGAAATTCATATAACCACTCCAAGAAACTCGGTATCGCAACTTAACACATATCAATCATCAATTCATGATTACATACGTATTCAATAATCATCTCATAAGACTTTCACAAGTAAAACATATCATTCATATTATCATGTCCATGTTTAATCTCTAAAGAACTATTATAAGGTAGTAATATGTGTCATCTACGCAACGCTTCAAACCACATGTCAAATAGTGTCACGAAACTTAACTTATGCACAAAACAACGTGCTTGGTACAAAATTCAAATAGTTGGTACGACTCGTAGAACTCCAAGACTAAAAACCCTCACTAAATCTATTTGTCTCTATTATTTTAATTAATTCAAATTAAACTAATTTCTCATAACACTCAACTATCCAATAATTAAATAATTCATATTTAATTAAATAAAACACACCACAACCCAAATTAATATTTAAAATTAGTAATAAAAATATCATAATAACATTAATATTATTAAAATTAAAAATTAGGGTGTTACAACTCTCCCCCGCTTATAGAATTTTCTCCCTCAAAAATTAGTTAAAGAAAACAACTCAGGGTCATGGTTCTCTAACCCCCGCATCACGCTACCCTTAACAGTAATTGCCACAAAAGAGATATCACCATGAAACACGTACCTCAAATCAAGTTACCGAAACCAAAAGTCTATGCTCCACTCAAAGTAAAGACATTTCCATCTGCTTGAGCTTTCTTCGATTTCTGGAACTGAGTACGGATATGAACTTTCTATCCACAATTGAAACATGTCCCCAAACCACTATTGCAGTCATTAGCACGACGCCCCAGTTTCCCATATTTGAAACACTTCAGGGTAGTAGATTCTGAAGCATGATAACCCATTTGTTCATACTTGAAACACTTATTAGAAGCAGGAGCACCTCCCCCATTTTTTTATTCCCGCTTGTGGCCTTTTGCTCAGACTTCTAATCCTCTTTAGCTACTGGAGTCACATGCGGCTTGCTATGACTCTGGTTTCCATTCTTCTTCTCATTAAAACTCTTGTAGTGAGCAGAATTGGTACAACTATCTTTGCCATAGATCCTACACTTCTTAACCAGTATTAAGAATTGACGAATCTCTTTGTATTTAATGAATAATTTAATCTATGGATGCAAGTCGCTATCAAACTTAAATCACTTTGATCCTTCAGCTCTTATCCTGTTGTAATGGGGGGAGAACCTAGATAAATCCTCAAACTTAGCATGATAATCTACAATAGTCATGTTTCCTTGCTTCAGCTCAAGAAACTCGATCTCTTTCTTGCTACGAACATCGGAGGGACAATACTTCTCAAGAAACTCAGCCCTGAAAACTGCCCAAGTAACAATAGAACTTGCACTCTCTAACCTCTGACGAGCATTACTCTCCCAATACCCAGCTTCCTCGGACAACATGTGAGTGTCGATCATAACCTGTTGAGCATCTGTATAAGCCATGACCTGGAAAGTCTTCTCAATCCCTTGTAACCAAACCTGAGCACCCTCTGGATCGTAACTTCAGTTAAAAAATGGCGGATTGTTTCTCTATAACCTACTCAGCCCACAAAATTCATCAACTGATCCCATTTGAGTCTGTAAATCCGCATTCGCTTCTTTCATCACATGAGTCGTATCTTCCCTGGCGTTATCGATTTCACGATCATTTCTTCCAACCATTTCTCGATACACCAGTAAGTAACCATTAGAAGAAACATTGTATTGGCAATCAATTTTCACACACTTGTCACGTACTAGGAAATAGGAAAAAAATCACAAAATCTGATCGGACGGACCTACCTTCTCTAACACCACTATGTAACACCCTAAACTTTGAATCTTAATATAAAAGAGAAAATTCACACTTTAGGATGTTACTCAACAAAAACATACACACTTTCTTCAACTAAAATTAGCAACTCACAACGGAATTCAAAACATGGCATAACCTTCAATATCTCTTCAAATGAAATACTTTAAAAAATTAACAAAATTCAACATCATTAAAAATAAATAAACATCTTGTTCTCCGATATTACAAATCATAGCGAAATCCATCTAGTAGCGAAAAACAATAAATAAAAAAAGAAAGTTTTAAAGTCATCTTCCAACTCATAGTAGCACTTACTCCTCCTAAGTGTTTGTAAAATATTGTACAAAGTCACACAAAACAAACAAGAAGTGTGTGAGATAATCCTTATAGAAGTTATTGTGTATTAAACTGCGAGGATAGAAAATATAAGTGCAATTCAAAATATACACGACCATTCTCATCCACAACAAAT